TCCCTACAATTTATTATTTTATTTCAATTATTAAACTGCTCTTATCTCAACCCATGACTTTTCTTACTTTTGCCCTTCCAGTTCTCTCCCCATTCCCACCGGGGGTGAGGGGATGGTGAGCAATCAGCTGCATGGTGCTTAGCTGCCAGCTGGGGTTAAGCCACAACAGTATTGTAGCAAAAATCTTTGAAGAGAACGTACTGGTTCTGATAGAAAGCACTGGTGATCCAGTAGTAGCACTGACATTGACCACTATCAATGTGCACTTCAGCTATATATGTTTAGAGCAATCCAATTTTAGCAATGCCTGTAGCTGTTCTGTGATACTTTGGCAACCCTGATCAGCAGTAAGCAGGCTTTTAACTGGACGGTTAACCTGGGTTTATGATTGCCTTGCATCAACAGGACGCTGCAAAGCGGCCAACGTACTGGCAAATCTGGACTGCTGCATGTATAGTCAGTGTGTGTCTTCTGAATATGAATCTCATCTCACCTGCTTCACACTTGTCTCATTTTGTTGGCTTAGATGAATTTATTACTCATGCACTGAAGGGCTAATTCAGCAGCATTGTCTACATCCCATATGGTGATCTAATGTCATTATACATCATCTAGAACTTTCAGCCTTACAAGGGATCATGACCTTCATCACATCCTGCACGATAAAACAGCAGGTGGGTAAAAGCAATGAAATCGGCTTGTATTTTTTTAAATTGTAAATGGATTTTGGCATTTGGTGACAAAAATCTCTCCTCAGTTGTTTCTCCAGCACTTTGTTTTACTTTTTATCCTTTACTATCTCAGCCCCTGCCTTAGATAGACTTAACCAGCTAAACCTCCCCTACATGCTTTCAGCCCTGTGATAAGCTTCCTTCCTGACATTCTTCAATACCCCTTCACTCCCCTCACAGGGGTTCCCCTAAGCCTACAGCCCAATTTGGCTGAGATGTTACAATGATGGACCATTTCCTCTGCCACGTTGTCTTGTTTGCGCATACACACAGCAAAACACTTCTCTTGCTTCTGAATCTCCGATATATTACAGGATTAACACATGACATAAATGGTTTATTTCTTTCGTAAGAGTCTGTAAAAGACTTTAGTATAAAAACCATAATTATTTCAGCTCTTGTGCCCCACCTTTCTGAATTCTCCAGGGTGTTACAGAAACTGAATGGGGTCAAAGTGATGAGATGCTGAGCGCTTCATGTTATTAATCCTTTGTTCATTGGTCCCTTCCACCAAGGAGAAAAACCACATTCCTACATATTAGCATTATTATGTGTTCAGCTTTAATACCTAGATGCTTAATTCAATTTCAGAGCCATAATTTGCTAGTTTCTCTGTAAAAATATAGATGGTAGGTGACACCCTTTGTCCAAGAGACCTTCTTGTCATTATACCTGAAAAATTCTGGTAGAGAAGAAATATATCCACATGCCTCCAGTGGAAGATGTAGACAAAAAGATTATGACTTATCCAAGGTCACAGAATCTCTAGCCAAAAAGTCTTACCACGTGCCCAGTGTACCAAACCTCGTGTCACTTCTAAAGCAGCATTGATGGGACAATACAGGGGGTAGTTCCTTCCCCTCAGCATAGGATATATGAATCCTTACTGTACCTAATAAGAGAAAAGTCTTAATTTAATAGAAGACTGCATAATAAGAATGAAAAATGATGTGTGCTTAATCTAGTTCAGTCCAATGTTCAAGCATTTTACTTCCATTCATTAATATCTTTACTATGAAAGAGGAATATTAACATGAAATGAGAATGACTAGCTGTTGGGTTTGGCTGATTCACGTAATTTTCTAATTCTTCAGTCTTTGAGGTCATTATCATGTAATCCAGTCAATAGTGATTTCATATGTCCCAAATACACTTTTTACAACATGGTAAAACCTTTTTCCTTTCCCCCCCCCCAAGCCTGCTTTCACAAAGCAAGCTGCCGAGTTTTGCACTACTTCACAGCAGGAAAGTAATTATGCTACATTTGCAGAAGACCCAGCAAAACCTATTATGTAGCTGGAGAATTCTTCCTCTTCTGAACCATTTGTTCTGTCTCTAGTAACATCTCTTCACTGATTTGATAAAAGGTTCACAAGAGAAACACTGCTAGCTAGATAACAAAAAAATGAGTCTTCCTTAACAACAGGTTTTTTCTTCTCCACCTTTATTTCCTGTTTGAGGCACATAAGGACCTATTCAATTCTACTCCCATTGAAATCAAGTCAAATGCATCAGTGGCAAACTTAACATTGTCTTCAATTACTTATTATTTGATTGTTTTATTTATAATTTCTTTGCTGCCTAGCAGTATTTAAGACTGAGTCAATACCAGAAGGTATTTTGAGCTCTACATAAAAAAAAATTAGATAGACCCATTTCAAAAGGACTTTGAAAGCTCAGGAAACCAGTGGCTCTAACCCACACAAACACTTGTCTACAGGTGTTACTTTCTGTACCCAAGTGGTCCTCAAAGGAGTGAGTTTAAGCAGAGTATTTAGTCTTCTAATTGGTGGAAGGAACAGGACTTCAGTCACCCAGAGCATGAAATCAGATTCAAATACAGACCCTGTATGTCACTCCCTAAAAGGACAGCTCACAAAACATATCTCCATCACCAAATGCAGTTTGCTGTTCCCTTTCTGTTTGCGTAAGAAGTCCATTCTTTCTGGCCAGTTGGTATGAGACAACTGATGCACATTCACACCACCTTAAGATGGAATGATATCTGAGCTTAATGAATTACTTAAGATAGAGAAATCAAGTAACTGTGATGTTATTGTAAAAAAGTTAAATACCATATTCTGATTTTAAAGACATTAACTAACTTGTTCATTCACATTCATTAAACTAACAGAGGTTTCCTATTGTTCCATGTCATAGGGAAGAGCTTGTCAGCATGCATAATACTGCCTCAAAAAAACAGAGGTCAAAGAAAAAGAA